ACCATTGGCCTTGGAGAATTCTGTAGGCCAGTCAACAGTCTCCAGGTCAGCTGTGAACTTCCTTATTGAGGCCTCGTCATGGAGTCTAAATGAGACTTTGTTGTATTCAAGTGGTGGTTTACTAATGTTTGTCAGGAGGAAGGTAGGGTAGTGGTCTGTAGTGCTATCTGTGATTATCCCTGATTTAAGGGGGGCTAGTATATTGGTCCATATGTGGTCTATTATGGTCCAGGGACTGTACCTCAACATTACAGAGGTACATAATGGGTCCAGGGACTGTACCTTAACAATACAGAGGTACATAATGGGTCCAGGGACTGTACCTCAACATTACAGAGGTACATAATGGGTCCAGGGACTGTACCTCAACATTACAGAGGTACATAATGGGTCCAGGGACTGTACCTAAACATTACAGAAGTACATAATGGGTCCAGGGACTGTACCTCAACATTACAGAGGTACATAATGGGTCCAGGGACTGTACCTCAACATTACAGAGGTACATAATGGGTCCAGGGACTGTACCTCAACATTACAGATGTACATAATGGGTCCAGGGACTGTACCTCAACATTACAGAGGTACATAATGGGTCCAGGGACTGTACCTCAACATTACAGAGGTACATAATGGGTCCATGGACTGTACCTCAACATTACAGAGGTACATAATGGGTCCAGGGACTGTACCTCAACATTACAGATGTACATAATGGGTCCAGGGACTGTACCTCAAACATTACAGAGGTACTTAATGGTCCAGTGACTGTACCTCAACATTACAGAGGTACATATGGGTCAGGGACTGTACCTCAACATTACAGAAGTACATAATGGGTCCAGGGACTGTACCTCAACATTACAGAGGTACATAATGGGTCCAGGGACTGTACCTCAACATTACAGAGGTACATAATGGGTCCAGGGACTGTACCTCAACATTACAGAGGTACATAATGGGTCCAGGGACTGTACCTTAACATTACAGAGGTACATAATGGGTCCAGGGACTGTACCTCAACATTACAAAGGTACATAATGGGTCCAGGGACTGTACCTCAACATTACAAAGGTAATGAATTATCTATACGTCCATACATGGCCACACACATTGAGGTCCGGGGTTCGATACCCGGTACCTGGAGTCTACCTGAAGGGTAGTCTGGGGAACAACGCCCCCGCGGCCCGGTCCACGACCAGGCCTCCCGATGGATCAGGGCATGATCAACCAGGCTGTTACTGCTGGCCGCACGTAGTCCAATGTACGAACCACAACCCGGCTAATCCGACATAGGCTTTAAGGTAGGTTAAGTTAGGGTAGGTTAGGTTATGGCAGGTTAAGTTAGGTTAAGGTAAGTTAAGTTAGGGTAGGTTAAGTTGGGGTAGGTTAGGTTAGATTAAGTTATGTTAAGTTAGGCTAAGGTAGGTTAGATTAGGTTAAGGTAGGTTAGGTTAAGTTAGATTAAGGTAGGGTAGGTTAAGGTAGGGTAGGCTAAGGTAGGTTAAGTTAGGGTAGGTTAAGTTAGGGTAGGTTAAGGTAGGTTAAGTTAGATTAAGGTAGGTTAGGTTAAGGTAGATTAAGTTAAGGTAGGTTAAGTTAGGTTAGGTTAAGGTAGGTTAAGTTAGGGTAGGTTAAGTTAGGATAGGTTAGGGTAAGGTTTACCTGGAGTTTACCTGGAGAGAGTTCCGGGGGTCAACGCCCCCGCGGCCCGGTCCGTGACCAGGTAGGTTAAGTTAGGGTAGGTTAAGTTAGGGTAGGTTAGGTTAAGGTAGGTTAAGTTAGGGTAGGTTAGGTTAGGGTAGGTTAGGTTAAGGTGGGTTAGGTTAGGTTAAGGTAGGTTAAGTTGGGTTAAGTTAGGTTAAGTTAGGTTAAGGTAGGTTGTTAGGGTAGGATAGGTTAAGGTAGGTTAAGTTAGGGTAGGTTAGGTTAAGGTAGGTTAAGTTAGGGTAGGTTAGGTTAAGGTGGGTTAGGTTAGGTTAAGTTAGGTTAAGTTAGGGTAGGTTAAGTTAGGTTAAGGTAGGTTAAGTTAGATTAAGGTAGGTTAGGTTAAGGTTGGGTAGGCTAAGGTAGGTTAAGTTAGGGTAGATTAGGTTAAGGTAGGTTGAGTTAGGTTAAGGTAGGTTAAGTTAGATTAAGGTAGGTTAGGTTAAGGTAGGTTAAGTTAAGGTAGGTTAAGTAGGTTAAGTTAGGTTAAGGTAGGTTAAGTTAGGGTAGGTTAAGTTAGGGTAGGTTAGGTTATGGTAGGTTAAGTTAGGTTAGGTTAAGGTAGGTTAAGTTAGGGTAGGTTAAGCTAGGGTAGGTTAGGTTAAGGTAGGTTAGGTTAAGGTAGGTTAGGTTAAGGTAGGTTAGCTTAAGGTAGGTTAGGTTAAGTTAGGTTAAGTTAGGGCAGGTTAGGTTAAGGTGGGTTAGGTTAGGTTAAGGTAGGTTAAGTTAGGTTAAGGTAGGTTAAGTTAGGTTAAGCTAGGTTAAAGTAGGTTAAGTTAGGTTAAGTAGGTTAAGGTAGGTTAAGGTAGGTTAAGTTAGGTTAAGTTAGGGTAGGTTAAGTTAGGTTAAGTTAGGTTAAGGTAGGTTAAGCTGGGTTAAGGTAGGTTAAGTTAGGTTAAGGTAGGTTAAGGCAGGTTAAGGTAGGTTAAGTTAGGTTAAGGTAGGTTAAGTTAGCTTAAGGTAGGTTGTTAGGTTAAGGTAGGTTAAGTTAGGTTAAGGTAGGTTAAGGTAGGTTAAGGTAGGTTAAGGTAGGTTAAGTTAGGTTAAGGTAGGTTAAGTTAGGTTAGACGAAGAATGAGGGGAGACCTGATCGAAGTGTATAAGTGGAAGATAGGTATTAATAAAGGGGATATTAATAAGGTCTTGAGGATGTCTCTCCAAGAGAGAACCCGCAGTAATGGATTTAAATTAGATAAGTTTAGATTTAGAAAGGACATAGGAAAGTATTGGTTTGGAAATAGGGTAGTTGATGAGTGGAACAGTCTACCTAGTTGGGTTATTGAGGCTGGGACTTTGGGTAGTTTCAAATTTAGGTTGGATAAGTACATGAGTGGGAGGGGTTGGATTTGAGTGGGACTTTCACATCAGAGCTTATTTCTTGGGTGGCATTGAAAATTGGGTTGGGCAAATGTTTTGTTAGTGGGATGAATTGTAAAGGACCTGCCTAGTATGGGCCAACAGGCCTCCTGCAGTGTTCCTCCTTTCTTATGTTCTTAAGGTAGGTTGTTAGGTTAAGTTAGGTTAAGTTAGGTTAAGTTAGGTTAAGTTAGGTTAAGTTAGGTTAAGGTAGGTTAAGTTAGGTTAAGGTAGGTTAAGTTAGGTTAAGGTAGGTTAAGTTAGGTTAAGGTAGGTTAAGGCAGGTTAAGGTAGGTTAAGTTAGGTTAAGTTAGGTTAAGGTAGGTTAAGTTAGGTTAAGGCAGGTTAAGGTAGGTTAAGTTAGGTTAAGCTAGGTTAAGGTAGGTTAAGTTAGGGTAGGTTAAGTTAGGTTAAGGTAGGTTAAGGTAGGTTAAGTTAGGTTAAGGTAGGTTAAGGTAGGTTAAGGTAGGTTAAGGTAGGTTAAGTTAGGTTAAGTTAGGTTAAGTTAGGTTTAGTTAGGTTAAGTTAGGTTAAGGTAGGTTGTTAGGTTAAGTTAGGTTAAACTAGGTTAAGGTAGGTTAAGTTAGGTTAAGCTAGGTTAAGGTAGGTTAAGTTAGGGTAGGTTAAGTTAGGTTAAGTTAGGTTAAGGTAGGTTAAGGTAGGTTAAGTTAGGTTAAGGTAGGTTAAGTTAGGTTAAGGTAGGTTGTTAGGTTAAGGTAGGTTGTTAGGTTAAGGTAGGTTGTTAGGTTAAGTTAGGTTAAGCTAGGTTAAGTTAGGTTAAGCTAGGTTAAGGTAGGTTAAGTTAGGGTAGGTTAAGTTAGGGTAGGTTAAGTTAGGTTGTTAGGTTAAGGTAGGTTAAGGTAGGTTAAGTTAGGTTAAGTTAGGTTAAGGTAGGTTAAGGTAGGTTAAGTTAGGTTAAGAAGATAAATATAGTCAGCCGGGTATTATAGTTCAACAACCTGGTCTACCCTGGGTTTTATTAACATTATTGGGGTGGAAAAGCATCTATGGTATAACAGAGGCATTATGAAATGAGAAGCAATCAGGTTTGATCCTAGGAAAGGGAGAGAGAGAGCTCCGGCTCCTAGGATGAAGAGCTCCTCCCCAGCATCCAGAGAAGTCACAAGATGAAAGCAATCACCAGGGAGTGGGTCTCCACTTCTCACATTGGATCCGCCATTTTGTGCACATTTTTCCCTGGATATACAAACTACCATAATTATTGTGTATATTATGGTGGTGGTGATGTTATGGTAGTATGGTAATGGTAATATATTTCTTTAAATACATAAACTTTTAAATTGCGTTGAAGATAAGAAACACCAACCTTTCCAATGTGTAAAAGTATTAGTAACGTTGTTGTTTTAGTTTCCTAGTGGCAGTCAATGTATTATATTTAAAGTTGATGGATGTTTATGTTAAATTATAGTTTTAGACATGAATGTAATGGAGTAATGTTGAATATTTGATAGTTTTATGACAGTGGTAAGATGAGCAGCCTGTCATTACGTCATGATGGCGTACACATGACGTCACTAGCTTCTCTGACGTCACCAAACCTTAAAGTCAAATGAAAACAAACACTATTTAAGCCTAATTTTACAATAATAAATTTATTTTTTGATACTACATAACTTTCTACACATTATTAAAACATTTTCAGTAACATTTAGAGTCAATTAAACATATATTTAAATTTTAAAAGAATATATAGTATAGTAAGAGTATAGATCTTGATGTGATCGTCAAGGCTGTGACCGATGTTTTGTTTGTAAGGTCTCTTATTTCTTAGGATTATCACAATTTTCACTCAGGTAAGGTTGATGGCGGGTTGTAGAGTGTGTGTGTGAGTGGTGTGGGCGGTGGGGCACAGGTAGGGCACCTGGGTAGCCTCAGAAGTGGTCAATTAAGGTGTTTAATTAGTGTGAGGGGTGGTAGAGGATGGTGGTGATGGTGGTGGTGATGATGGTGGTGGTGGTGGTGGTGATGGTGGTGGTCAATGGTGCATAACCCAGACGGTGAATGACTCATTGCAGCGCCACACTCTCCTTCCAGCCTCGTCTCTTCACCGCCAGGATCATTCTTTCACAGGTTGGTGGGCGGGGAGGGCGGCGTGTGGTGGGCGGCGTGGTGGGCGGCGTGGTGGGGGGGTGGGTGGGTTAGGGGGGGTGGCGGTGGAATGGCCTTGACTGGTACCACAGCGGTGGGTATGTGCAAGTGTGAGGGTAAAGTGTGGTAGCCGGGGGTCCTCCAGTCTGCTGCTGCTGCCTCTCTTAGTGGGTCCTCCAACACTCTCTCTCCAACATCATCCTCTCCACCATTCTGCCTCATCCTCTCCAGCACTCTTCATCATTCTTTCTATCTCATCCTCTCCATCATTCTTTCTATCTCATCCTCTCCAACACTCTCCCTTACACTCACTCTCCATCATTCTTCCCATCTCTACCTCTCCATCATTCTGTCTTATCCTCTCCAGCACTCCATCATTCTTCCCATCTCTACCTCTCCATCATTCTGTCTTATCCTCTCCAGCACTCTCCATCATTCTTTCTATCTCATCCTCTCCATCATTCTTCCTATCTCATCCTCTCCATCTTTCTATCTCATCCTCTCCAGCACTCTCCATCATTCTTCCTATCTCATCCTCTCCATCATTCTGTCTCATCCTCTCCAGCACTCTCCATCATTCTTTCTATCTCATCCTCTCCAACACTCTCCCTTACACTCTCCATCATTCTTCCTATCTCTACCTCTCCAGCACTCTCCATCATTCTTTCTATCTCATCCTCTCCAACACTCTCCCTTACACTCTCCATCATTCTTCCTATCTCATCCTCTCCATCATTCTTTCTATCTCATCCTCTCCAACACTCTCTCTCTTACACTCTCCATCATTCTTCCTATCTCATCCTCTCCATCATTCTGTCTCATCCTCTCCAGCACTCTCCATCATTCTTTCTATCTCATCCTCTCCAACACTCTCTCTCTTACACTCTCCATCATTCTTCCTATCTCTACCTCTCCAGCACTCTCCATCATTCTTTCTATCTCCTCTCCAGCACTCACTCCATCATTCTTCCTATCTATCTCTATCATTCTCTCTGCCTCTAAAACACTGATTCTCCATCATTTGTTCTACTGCTCCCTCTCCATCATTCTCTCCATCTCTCCAGCACTCTCCATCATTTCTCTCTACCTCTCACTCTGGCACTCACTCTCCATCATTCTGGCTCCAGCACTCACTCTCCATCATTCAGTCTCCAGCACTCTCTCCATCATTCTGTCTCCAGCACTCACTCCCCATCATTCTCTCTCCAGCACTCACTCTCAATCATTCTCTCTTCCTCTCATCACTTACTCCATTACTCATTATACCTCCAACACTCACTAATAGTTGCCCCAACCATCATTCTCCCTCATTCCTCATTCTCCCTCATTCCTCATTCTCCCTCATTCCTTCTCTCACACTTCCCCCAGTTCCTTCACACACACTATCTCCCTCTTGGTCTCTCTCCCTCCATCATTCTCCCTCATTCCCTCTCTCTTGATCTTTCTCCAACACTTGTCCTCCCTCATATTATGATGTTACCTTCCATTTACTCACCTCGTACTCCGTCTATATAGTCTCCTGGTCACCCTCAGTCTTGCTATTTCCTTCGTGGTCTCTAATGTCGCACCAAAACGTAGCTTTTTTTTAATGCTTCGAGTGTCGTGAAATGTTATGAGATGGAATTTTTGCCTTATTGAAATTAAAGGCAAAGAAAAAATACATGCCTTCGACTAGTGATTGATTTGTGCGAGTGTTCCGTGTGCTGACGTCTACGGCACAGTTTTTACAGTGTGGCCCAAAGGTGTTTAGTGCTTGTTCTTGAATATATATAGTACTCTAAATGACAACAATAATGATAATAATAATAATGTGGCACAATGTACGGTAGTGTTTATACGGAAGTTCTTCGGAAATATTGGTGAAATCCGTGAATGTGTTGCAAAACGTGCTGTAAAAAAAATTTAAGTGATGTGGTGCATTCGAGGATTTGGATAATAGTCGTACTGGAAGTGAAATGTGAAAGTCAAGTGTTGTACGTTGTATAACCCTAGAGCTGCGATGCATCAAGTTTCCACTTCCAGGGATTAATTGGAAGAATATGCCAGAAAAATAAATGCACATCGTAGAGGGAAGACAATGAAAATTCTTCAGTGTTGCAGAATCAGTCGTTACACTGCGCCTGGAACAACTCACAAACAACACTGACATGGAAAATATACGCGTCCGGGACTAATAAATACCTCATTTATAGTTTCCTTTTGAGAAGTGAAGTGTGAGAAGTCAGTGGTAATTTTTTTCTTTTGTTTTAATACAAAACTTGGAGTGGACTAATTGTGGCTCACCGTAGATTGTGCGTCCTACTTTACAAGTTCATTATATTTAAGAGAAATAAGGTTTAAGTGAATGATTAATTTATCGTCATTTCTCTTACCTGTGACGTGCGATCAGTGAGGTGACGGCTTCAGTGTGTTCTTACATATTGAAAAATATTCCTGAAGAATTCTAGTGATGAAGTCGTGAACGTTGTAGACCAAGCAAGGTCAACCGTCAAGAATGTTGTGAAACAATATTCGTGCAGATATAGACGTGTTCTGTCCTACATAGTGAAGTGTAAATTATAGTGAGACTTTGCCAGATTTACTTTAGCCAGCATTCTGTGGTGTAAATTGGAAGATACACACGGCAAGTGTGACGTACACAGAGATTTTTATTGAGTGTTGAGTGGGTTTGGATTTTGTATTTGTGGTTTCAAACCTTTTTTAGATTTTCTTTATAAAATCTTTGTATAGAGGTAAAATTCTTATTTTGTAAGTTTGCCTCTCAAATTTCTTTTTTTTTAATGAGTTTCAGCTGTTGATTGCAGTAGTCGGGTACTGGTAGTGTTGGGGGTTACAGAACCTCTCATAGTGGATGCCTCATATTTTTTTAATTATGAAATTGCATATAGTATATGATTATATGAAGTTTTGCTGGAACTTTAAGAAATGTTCACAGTTTTCCGACAGTGTTTCAGCGGATATATTTGCACATTTGGGAGTAGACATGTCAGCAGGCGGGCCTATGAAAAGACAAAGTTAACCATAGAACAGAAGAGGAGAAAAAGATGGGTGGTGCTTTGAGGTATCTGTGGAAGGAATTACATAGATTTTCATTTGCATAAGCCTTTAAATTATCTAGAAATCAATTTGCAATTGAAGCGTCGAGTTAGTGGCTATGCTTTGGTATTCAGTTAAATTACAGAGTATGAATAAGTATATAATTAGAGTACTTGTAAGAAAATTCTATCTATCTTGACAGATACTGCATATAAAATTTATATTTTAATATAAGAACATAGGAATAGAGGATTGCAGTAGGCCTATCAGCCCATGCTAGGCAGCAGCTACTCACACCCAAACGTTCGTGTTAGTATAATTGGAGATTTCATCTATAAAGAAGAAATTGAGCAGCCTATGAGGCTGGAATTCTAAATAAATGCTCATCAGAGTTCCTCAGTGTACTACAGTATTTTTTATGCGTCGGAGCATAAGTGAACCGACATAGCATACCTGTGATCAGTTTCAAGAATAAGAGCCACAAATGAAGTGTAATGCTATCCTTTATTGACAATGTTTTGTTTATGCTGTTGCATAAGTAAGTAAGGTTATGAGGATAACAAAAAGATTAGGTGATGGAAGATTGGATATCAGATTGGAGGGAGAGAGTATGGAGGAGGTGAATGTATTCAGATATTTGGGAGTGGACGTGTCAGCGGATGTGTCTATGAAAGATGAGGTGAATCATAGAATTGATGAAGGGAAAAGGGTGAGCGGTGCACTTAGGAGTTTGTGGAGACAAAGAACTTTGTCCTTGGAGGCAAAGAGGGGAATGTTTGAGAGTATAGTTTTACCAACACTCTTATATGGGTGTGAAGCATGGGTGATGAATGTTGCAGCGAGAAGAAGGCTGGAGGCAGTGGAGATGTCATGTCTGAGGGCAATGTGTGGCGTGAATATAATGCAGAGAATTTGTAGTTTGGAAGTTAGGAGGAGGTGCGGGATTACCAAAACTGTTGTCCAGAGGGCTGAGGAAGGGTTGTTGAGGTGGTTCGGACATGTAGAGAGAATGTAGCGAAACAGAATGACTTCAAGAGTGTATCAGTCTGTAGTGGAAGGAAGGCGGGGTAGCGGTCGGCCTAGGAAGGGTTGGAGGGAGGGGGTAAAGGAGGTTTTGTGTGCGAGGGGCTTGGACTTCCAGCAGGCATGCGTGAGCGTGTTTGATAGGAGTGAAAGGAGACAAATGGTTTTTAATACTTGACGTGCTGTTGGAGTGTGAGCAAAGTAACATTTATGAAGGGGTTCAGGGAAACCGGCAGGCCGGACTTGAGTCCTGGAGATGGGAAGTACAGTGCCTGCACTCTGAAGGAGGGGTGTTAATGTTGCAGTTTAAAAACTGTAGTGTAAAGCACCCTTCTGGCAAGACAGTGATGGAGTGAATGATGGTGAAAGTTTTTCTTTTTCGGGCCACCCTGCCTTGGTGGGAATAAGCCAGTGTGTTAATAAAATAAAATAATTTATCAAGTCATGAACAGATTTGAAATAAAACATATCTGTTTTTGCCCTGATAAAGTCCACTGCATTTACAAAACATTGTCAGTAATAAATTGCACTATACTGCATTTCTTTCTCTTTCTGTGTTTATACAATGCCCTGATATTTTGCCAGGAGTACCCCTGCTTTTCAATGGGTCTCTTTTACTCTTTCTTCCATATCTCTCAGACAAGTGTGGTGTTAAGGTAGTACTACAGTGGAACCCCGGTTTACGATATTATTTCATTCCAGAAGTATGTTCAGGTGCCAGTACTGACCGAATTTGTTCCCATAAGGAATATTGTGAATTAGATTAGTGTATAGATTAGTCCATTTCAGACCCCCAAACATACACATACAAACGCACTTACATAAATACACTTATATAATTGGTTGCATTGGGAGCTGATTGTAAACCGGGGGTCCACTGTATGTGTATGTAAAATAGTCAATTTTGTTTCTGTAGAGAATGG